ATAAGCACGATAAAAAAGGTGGACAAACCAGGCAAGCCCTTTGGTTGCTATCCAAGATAATGATCATCTGATGTCAGACTGGAATCACCTGATAAGCTGCCCATGAGATCAGATGATGACTGGGGATGAAGAAAGAGTGGGGGAAGTCATATGATAGAAGTTATAAAAAAAGTCTCTTAGGGCTATTTTCAAACACCAGAAGGGACTGGTTATAGGATGTAATTGTTCTGAGATGACAGAGATGTTAAGGCGAAGCTTGGCCCTGTTTTGCTGCATCATGTGATGGGTTCACAGGCAGAACTGTGGTTGGGGTGGAAAAGCTCTGTTCATCTAACCTTTCCTTATATTTGGTTTGGGGAAGAGGAAATATTAATTGGGATTCTGGGAAATTCTGTTGTATAGTCAAACATCTATAAAGAAACATAGAATGAAACTTCGTCAGGCCTGTGGCATTTTAGCAATTAGGGAAAATAGCCCCTAACCAATCCCCAAATCCCACACAATGTACAGGTTAGATGTATCACGCCAGCCTAAGCTTAGAGGGTGCTGGTGGGGAGACAAAGATAAGGAGTGGTCTGTCAGTGCTTTCCTTGGCTACTTCTCAATGTTATCAAAATAACCTGCTGATTTCTTTCAAGCTTCAAACCTGATTAGTGAAAGTGCTAATGGTAACGGTTGTCCCTGAACAAGGTATGCAGGATGACCAGGATCCTGGGGCTGCTGGACTCACTCGACCTCAGGCCACCGTATTATTCACTTCTCTGGTAAATAATTTTGGTAAAAAAATTTTGGTCTGCCCAAAAGGGACAAGTTGAAGTCTATTTGGATCAAAGGAAATCCCATCGTAAGGGTTCAAAAGCAGCACTCTGGCTGAACGCCAGCAGAGGGCTCCCAGAAAGCAGAGAGTGTAATAGCTGCTGTAATTTATGGTAGCACTTATTTAAGCAATTAACTCTTATCTGAGTTTGCTAAAACTTCCTGAAATTGTTCACTTGTTCTGTGAGAAGTCTTACATCCTATGATATAATTCGACTCTCCAGGGTCCCTTTTTGCAGAACTTCAAAAAAAAAAAAAGAAATCTTTAGTCATCTTGCAGTGTAATTGAATGTGCTTCCTTATTCAATGCAATAGGCTTGTTTTCAAAGTTTGAGATTTTTTCATGGTTTCCAACAAGATTTTGACACCACAGTGCCTAAATTTAATTTGAGAGAGAGTTTGCTATCTGTTTTTTTTTTTAATTTTCCAGAGCAATGCCCCAGCAAGCCTACATACTTGATTGTGAGCATCCAAGAAGGGGGAGATAAATTGTATTTGTTTTAGTAAACAGTAACATGCTCAGACATAAAATTAGAAATAAGAATGAAAGAAGTAAATTCGTTTGAATACTGAGTTTCAGTTTTTCTTACCTGTATTAAACAGATATTAACCTCTAGAAAACATTAATCTGTATTGTATAATAACACTGTTTTGCAAAATGGTGAACTTCACCTTTGGTCATAATTGTGGTACCACTTGCTTCAAATAATTTCCTCCAGGTACTTTTTTGCACCATGCTTTGGTCCTCTTTTGTCTGCAGCTCCTGCTTTTACCATTTTGGTACTATCTTCTAGCAGTCACTTTAGCGTGGGGTTACATGTTTGCACATGTTATGCTGCTTATTTAGCTGTACTGTATAAATGCCTCCACTTAGCACAAATTGATTATGTTTCACAATAATCTGAATATAGAGAATCAGATGTGGGTAGAGAACCTCTCTGTGTATGTGTATTTGACATAGGTATATTTGATTTCAAGGTTTTAATTAACATTGTGAATGACCACATTATTCATTAGTGACAAAGCCATGAGATACACAGGTATCCCCGAACAAGTGCTAACACAACCTTTGCGAACTCTTGTCTCAAATGTGTCATTACTTCAGAAACTTGTTTAGCCATTCAGGAGGAAAAAAGTCTGCTAAAGTCAAGCAATCCTAGTGCATCCCAGGTAGGCCCCAGAAAGACCCGAAGTTAATGAACTTCTGAACAGGTAATAAACACGAGGAAAAAATCTTTTTGTTAAAGGCTACTTCTTAGCTGTCTGTGAAAAAAAACATTGGGTTTAACTTTAATTCCTGAAGTGACCTTTGTATTGTGGCAGCTCTAGGTGAAATATTTCCAGACCAATGAACACAGGCGGATGTAGCCAGGGAAGATGAATAGGGCGGCTACGGTTAGAAGTGCTATTGCACTGTTTAAAAAACCTTGAGACTTGATACACTTGGTACTTCAGCTCACAGTAGTATTACATGGAGAACAGAGGTGATGCAGGCTGAAACGCACCTCTACTGTGAGTTACTGCACACCACGCAAGGCCTTTGTCCCAACTATTTTCCAATGCAAGGTTGTTCCTGTCAGCCTGTCTCTTTTATCTAATCTGTCCAATCTACCTGTAGAGGGTAGGGCCTCTGCCCTCACTTTTCAGCCCAGAACTTTCCACAACTCTGCAAACATTGGTGTCTCAACCCTTTTTCCCTGTTGCACCCACTGTTGCAGACTCTACTGGTTTCAAAATATGCATGTAATCTTACGCTAATAAACTCTTTCCATATAGCCTGTGCTAATCTTAACAATATGATGTCATCCAAACTCCACAGCATTTGTGAAAGATGTTTTAATATTCCAGATCTTTTGATCTCATCTCGTAAATTAATCCCTCCATCTCTTTAATTATTTTAATTGCTCTTCTTTAAATTCCATTCAGTGTAATTTTCTAACAGGAAGAGTCCCAAAAATATCCTAGGCATGACCTAGTTAAGTAGCATGCACAGGGTAGTCGTGCCAAAGAAGCGGAAGAGAAGGTCTGTTAGGTTCTTCCTCAGCGATGGATCCTTCACACAGAGGCTTAAATTCTGCAGGCTTTGTTATTATGCTGATCCATAAGACTGTATGGAATTTACTGTCCCCTTTCACTCCTTTATGTTGATATTGCAAACTTCTTCCTTGTTGAATGTTTTCCTACAGCTCTACCGAGATATTACTGAGGTGAACCTCCTCCACCCATATTCCTTTTTAGATTATGTTCATGCTATTTTGCCAGCCTTCCCAGCTCCACCTGACCTGATGAACAGCTATGAAAGCCATTTATGGCTAGTTACTATCCTTTAAGTCAAAGTTTAAGAAATATTTCACACTGTTCTATGAAATAATTCATTAGCCTTTTCAGCTTTTCAGTTGAAGTCCACTTCTAATCCATAAAATCCCCATCCATATAAAAAAGGACATGGTAAGACAACTGTTCTCTTTTTTCCTTTAGCAAATTTAATTAAAAAGATGATGCTCCACCCCTCTTCAAGTGTCAGTTCAGAATGGTCAGCCTTAAGTAGCAAAATTAATGCCAAGAAAAGGTGTGCATGACAAATTGGTGTTCTTCTTTTTCCCTGTAAACCCAGCAAAGCTTCTCATGTGTATGTAAGGGCATAATTTAGGCATCTGGCACATATGAACAAATACATAAGAAGGTACTTAGGTGGCAACATCACTATTACCTTCTTCCAACTATTCCACAATGGAAAAATAATGTAATAGGCTGAACTGTACAAAAAGCATTGGTTAGTTCCTCGCTGCCATTGAAGTTTAAGATGGCAAAAAACAATCCATTAAATTGCTTTATGTAATGAGGTAACTAAAACAACTGCAGCTGCCACAAGCAAAGGTGAGAGATGTAAGAGATCATAAAATACAGGGATTTTCCTGGCTATCTTGTGGCAGCTGTGTGTCTGAAATAAAACAAAACAGCAGAGATCAAAGAGAGCAGCAATGAAGCATTGATTTTGGTTAAAAAAAAAAAAACAACACCCCAAAAACAAAAAAAAAAAAACAAAGAACCAACCAATAACACGGCACTAAGAAAAAGCAGAAGTACAACAAATCCACCCAAACAGGATCATGCAATCCCTGCAACACCCAGGATCAGATCAAAGATGTTCATGAGAATCTGCAAAGCCCTATATTTTAGGTAATTAATCATAAAAAAAAGGAGCTTCTCATGGATCGGCTGTGCAAATGAACACCAGATGATGAAAATGTAGTTATTACAGACCTGCAGACGTTTGTGCCACTTTTGATGCACATCTCCAGTGAACGTGTTTGCTTTGCTCAGGATGCATGTGTGGAACTGTACTGCCCAAAACTAGTATTGCAAGCTTGCACTGAGAAACATTATCGCAACCTACAGAAATAATCATGGTAGCACATTGTACAATGGTTGCTTGTAAGCCTCTTAAGTGTGGGATCACATGAAATCACTCATGCCATAGTATTGTGAAAATGTGATCTCAACCCTGCGAAGTAATTAAACAAATCAAGAGCTGGCAAAACGTGTAGCAACCGCTGAAGTTAAACATCAGTCCTATCATTAACTACTTTTAGATGGTGTTTTTCTGGGTTTGTAACGACACGTGGCTTAAGTCACTCGTGGCTTCCGCACGATGCCTTACAGTTATCCCTTACACAAGATGAAAATGACTTCAAACAAAAGGCTTTGAAGATTCTCTGGTGATTCTCTGGTCGCTCTGCTGCCGCGGGAGCAGAGCACTCGCCCTGCCCAGCAAGGGCACCGGGTCCCGAGGAGCAGCTCTGGGCCGAGGCCACCATTGTTGCGGGAAGGCGACCCGTGCCCTCAGCGCTGGGGCGGGATTTCACTCGGAGAGCGCGGGTGTGCGCTGACTCTTAACAAACGCTTGGGCTCTCAGCGTGTTTTGCGGACGTACAGACCAGCCCCATGGCGGGGGCCGGAGGCGGGAGTTTGCGGCGCGGGTACTGACCACCGCATCCATCGCGGAGGGGGAGGGAAACTTAAGTACCGCAGCGGCGGCTCTCCGGAACCCACCGCACCAGGCCAGCACCGAACAGCGGTACCAAACACCCCAACAGCCCCACGCACAGGCTCTAGCTCCTGCCTCCCTTCACCTCCCTCCCGCTGGACAGCGAGGCCTCCAACGGCCACTGCCCCTCCGCCCCCTGCCCCGCCACCCCCGCAGCCATTGCCCCGCCCCTCGGGCTGGGTCCCCGCCCCGCGCGGCTTGCGCCCACCCCCGTGCGGCGCGGCTGCAGCCCCCACGCACATATAGGCTCCTCCGCCGCACTGCCCGCGTTGCCGCCGCTGCCGCCTCCTCCAGGCATGGCACAGGGCTGTACCTCACTATGGCAGCAGCGCAGCACAGCACCCTGGACTTCCTGCTCGGCGCCACAGGTAACCGCCGCGGCCGTGGAGCAGGGAGAGCGGGCAGGGAGTGGGGGGGCATGTGTCTTTTACCCGCCGGTCTCTCGGCGGTGTGTCCTACCTCGCCACCGCCGAGGAAGCGGCGTGGCTGCATGGCTGCCTGCCCGCCCGCCAGGCCCCGTGCGGGCGCCCCCTCCCCTGGGCCTTCCTCTGGCGCCGCTGCCCAGCTGTGTGCTCTGCGTGTCCCCTCAGTGTCCTCTTCCGCCGGCGGGCAGGTGCCCCCCCGGGCTCTCAGAGGCCGCCATGCCGCCGCACCCGCCCTGGGCAGGCGTGCGGCCCGCTGCGGCCTCCTGCCCCGTGTCCGCCGTGCCGCAGCCCCTCGCTGGGGGCAGCCCGGCCTGGGGTCAGGCTGCCGTGCAGGTGCCCCTGCCCCGGCTGATCGCAGCTGCGGAGTCGTCAGGGCGGGCTTTTCCCGGCGGCGGCAGAGTGAGCGGGCTGGTGGAGGTGCCGCGCTGTGGGCCCGCGGGGAGGGAGAAGGCCTGGCCATTTCCGAGTGGCCGGGCCGGGGGTCCCCGAAAAGCAGCCCGCCTTGGCTCGGCCCTCCAGGTAGTGCAGCCCTGGCAGCGCCCTTCAGGACGGGGCGTTGAAACGGGCCGGTGCTTCCCGCAGAGGGAGGTGCGGGTGCAGCGCAAGAGTGTCTGTCATTCGGGTATTTCTCTAACCTCGTCGCAGAAGCGTGAAGGAAGTGATCAGCGATGAGATTCGGCATTGGATGAGCCATCGGCTATTTCAGAGCTTTACTCCGTAGTTATCTGTAGGGGGCATGTTCGAGCCAGAAACGGATGGAGCAAGGTTTCTCGACAGCTAAGATGGGTGAAAAGGTTCAAGGGGGGCGTGGGGTGAGGGGAAGCCGCGATGGGAGCCAAAGGGGTAGGTGTGTGCCGAGCAAGGCCGCCAGCCGGGGCTGCCCTTCGCTGGCGCAGGTCCTTCCCGGAGCCCGAGTGCGGCCAGGGGTCTGACCTTATGCGTCGACCCCATTTCTCTTTATTTCCCTTTTTGAAGAGAAGGGGGTGGTTCATCCCCTCTACGGATAAAATCTGCCGATGGCTTGGTTTAAGAGAGGGGATTCTGACTCCCGGGGCTTTGCTGAGTGCTGTGCCGTTCCTGGCCTTGCTGCTTTTCCTTTTAGGAGAGCTGGGAACAAGAGAGGGGGAAGGTATTAGTGGAGTTGTTACCAAGCAGCATGCTTTAGGATATTCTACTGTGTTTCATGGTGAAAGGCTTGCAGTTTCCATTTTTACAGTGAGATTTAATTTTTTAATAGCCACTGAAATGGTGACCTGATGATGAACAAGATAGTCCTTCCTTTTTCCTTGTACCTTATCCATGACTCATCTAGCATGAACAGAATTGGAAAACTAAACCAGTGTAGAAGCAATTTTCATAGATACCATCCAGCCCCCTCTTTGCCCGTTTAGTTCTCTGAATTATCATGGGTTCAAGGATTACATCAGTAACTGGCTTCTGCAGAAGAGTCAGGATTGCCAGAGAAAAGAGTATGTGTACTGAAAATAAACTGCAGTTATGTTAGCTGCTCTATGTTATAAACCCTATGTCATTAATTACATAGAGACTGTGACAATGATTGTAAGTATTGTGCTTATTAGTTTTTCTGTTCCCTTTTCTTTTACTTCTGAAATGTTTTGAAGTGTTTAGGTCTTTCTCCTGTCAAGGTGCACGTGCTAATTGGGGGTGGGGAGATGGACCAACTGTAGAAGTCTTGCTGTGTAAGTCAAAGGAGGGAAAAAGCCTTTTACCCTTAAGTTTGTTTTAGCACAGTAGACATCTTCAGTGAGATGTGAAGAAGTTTCTTCCACCCATGGCAGCTCTGAAGTTGACTTACACTTTCCATGTGGCATTTTGTCTTTTATGTAGTACTTATTACCCAAAGAACATAAGGAATTGTCTATAGAGGGGAAAATCGGTGAATGTACATCTGTAGATTGTGTAGAGGAGTTGAAGTTTAATGCTGAATCGCAGATCATCAACTAGTTGAGGTTTTTACTGTAAGTTACATGGTCAATAAAATTTCGAAGTGGTCTGTAATGCCATAAAATGATACTGAGTAAAATGAGATGTTGTTTTGGATCCCCTGGTTCCTGAGCATAACATGTTATCTATGGCTCAGCTGAAGCTGTTTTCATCTTTGTGTTCTGGAGAATGCAGAATTTTTTAACTTCTTGGTAAATGGGCATTCCCTGTTTCTCAAAGCATTACTTGTGTCCTCAGTTTTTGAAAAATACGTATTTTTGGTAGGTATTAATATAGTTGTTAAACTTGCCAGCTTTTAGGAAGGTAAGACTTTATGAAGGCAAGTTTGTTAAGTAGTTTGTGTTTCACTGCAGTGCATTTTGCAATAACTGTATATGATTATCATGTCTTTTTCTTAGGAATCTGCTTATATGAAAGTTGTTTCAAATGGTTGATGAAATAACTTGAATATTCTTAGCATTCGTGTTTAACACTGTAGCTATTCAATAGTCTCCTAATCTTGAAGGGAAGAAAGACTTCACTGTTACTGTCCAGCATCAAGATTGAACTTGACCATAAAGGATGGGATAGTGTTTCTGAGATGTTAATATTCTCTTGGGATCTGTTTGTTTCTTTATGTGCTCTGTTGTGTGTAGCTTGTCTTTATCCTCAGTCTTCTGATCTTCTGAAAATAAAGAGGTTGCCTTTGAATGTCAATGAGAGGACCTGAAGGACCCAGCTCCGAGTTGGGAAGATGGGGTTTTGTCACATGCTAATACTTGTGCAACATCAGCTAGCAAGTGCTTGTGTTGCAGAATGATGTAAATTCTGGTAGGTCATTCCCACTAGCTTACTTTGTGTATGCCATGTCCCTTCAATAGCAGCACAGTTTGTAGTAAAGCTGCACAGACTGCTGTGGTGACAACATTTTGAGGCTTGGGCTCAGATGAGTGAGATGGTGGAGCAGAGAATATTGATTACCTGAGCTGAAACAGTTACTGAAGTTCTTAGTGGACTCTCGTGTGAGTTAGCATGCAGTGAGAATGCTAGGGCTGTAGGACAGGTAAGGCAATGCTTGGGCTTCTGAGAAAAAGAAGTGGATGTGTGTGTGCACATACCTGTGTCTTCAAATGAATGCTTTTATAAACATATGAAACATAGGAGATGGAAGAGGGAATACCTTTTGTGGTCTGAACCTCTTTAGGCCCTCTGTCAGTGGCTTTGTTCCTGTCTGCAGGATCCGCTGCTCAATTCTGACCCTGCATGTAGGGGAAATATTGATGAGAAAATCAAGCCTGTCATCAGCAGGAATACATGTAAATAAAAAATGGCTACAGTGCTTGGGTCTAAATGTTGCTGGATGTAGATCATAAATTATTTTTTTATTAATGTGTGAAAGAAGAATTTAGCTGGTATCATGTGTACTGGGTTTGACTTGAACTATACTTTGATTAGTGTTTTGCTGCATAACTACCCTTATTGGAAACAAACTTGATTTACAGATCTATTTTTTTTTTTTTCTTTTGGAGTCTTTTTCAAGGACTAACTGCTTTACAAGTTAATTGAAAATACATAAAATGTCTTGCCTGAAGCATTCATTAAAGGGTAAGAAAGTGTCATTAACTCTGCTGGCAATCCTGTATCTGACTTTTGGTTTAGCTTCAAGCAGACAAAGTGCTGTAAGGTAAAGCAGGGGTGCAAAGATGTAAATTACTCGTGTTCTCAAAATCTCGATTATAAGGTGTTCTGGGTTGCTCTGCAAGAAAGAAATGTTCTTTCCATATTGATGTTTTTACTTAGGCTATCAAATTGTTAAACATTTGAATTGCATGCAGTTAAGCTAATATTTTCATTCTTGTCTTTGGTTTTGATTGGACATCTTTATGCTCTTCATAGAGCAGGACTGTAATTTTACATGGTTGTTCTTGGCTGTGCTGATCTAAACTTTGCAGGGGGAAAGAGTTGACAAGGTTTTTTTGTTCTGCATCCCTTTGGAGCTGTGTAGTTGAATTGCCTTACTTTAAGAACTAGTTAAAAACCTATCTTAAGGAGACAGCCTCCCACCAGCAGTAGTATTTAGGAGAACTAAATGATGAGGGAGGGGTGCTGTGCTGGCTCTTCCTCTTTACCATCTCTGAAGCCTCTACCTGAATTGCTACCTGTGAGCTCTCTACATGAGTTCAGCTGCTTGTGTATGGTGAGCTGTATCCTGCTGCAGTGAAGACAATCTAATTGGTTCTGGTTTGGTTTCATAAACAGGTAGTCAGCAGTTCTAGCTGTTGAGTCGTGGTTCATCCTGCATGTGTGGACCGGAGAAAGCAGGTGACTGGCATTGGAAGCTTGGTGTCCCTGCAAAGTTTTTCTATGAGTAAGTCAATCTTGTGTATGAAGGAGAAAAGTTTAAACCAATTCTAAATACTTGACAGTTTTGAAGATTATAAATGAAAAACTCATCAGAAAAACTTTGAGTGTGTGGCTGTTGCCTAATGTACTAGAGGTGCTAGGGCTTTGTTTTGAGGAGGCAAATTATATTTCTATGACTGGAGCTGGCTGCAGTTAGTAAAAACACATTAAGTATATTTGAATGTGTTGTGGGTGGAATGGCATCTGAGCCTTGTAGCTCAGTTTGACTGGTTCTGTCAAGTATTGGATTGTCTGACGTGCTGAAACATCTGATTACACAGATAACGTGTTTGATGTGCTTATCTCTTCTTTACTATATTGATTTATGATATGTTACTGAAATTTGCTGACTCTGACTATGGTGTGTATGTGAAGACCACATAAAGATTAAACAAGACTCAAGTAAATGTCTCTGGTATTACTCAAGTAAAGCCTGCAACTGTTATAAACCTTGGCTAAAGGTGAGTTTGCAGCTGCAGTTCAGGAGAATGGGTCTGTTTTAATTGTGCTCTTAGCAGCCTCTGTGAGTGGTGTGGTCTCAGCCTATGCTCTTGGCTGGGTTGTTTTGAGCTGAGCCCTGCAGGTCTCCACAGTCT